GGAACAAGAAGCAACTAGGGGCTGCTGGCATCGCTACTAGGAGCAAGGACGCTACTAGGAGCTCCTGGCCGTACTACTAGGAGCAAGAAGCTACTAGTAACAAGTATCCTTTTGCTTTTTCTCCTTTTTTGCCTTTAGCACTGCCCTGATAGATTAGGTCCTGGCTGTTGGGCCGATCAAGCGCCAGGGAGTTTGGGCAGTGGAGTTTTTCAGAGGGCTCTCTGTTTCTTCTCGCGATGAGCAAGAACCAAGACAAGCCCCCCCGGTGGGCTTTGTGTCGAATGGTAGCTGTAGAATGCTGTAGATTTCCCTCGCTGTGATGCTAATGCTCTGTGTTGCTCCGCTTTGCTCCGCTTGTTGTGATCTCCCTTGACCCAGCAGTTGGAAAAGTGCTTCGACGTTGGTGCTGCTCAAACCGACAGCTGCTTCAGACAACATGAGCACACCGAAACTCCTCTTGTGAGACAGGAGCTAGAAGCTACTAGTAACAAGGGCATCGCTACTAGGAGCAAGAAGCTACTAGTATCTCCTGGTTTTACTGGGAGCAAATAGCTACTAGGAGCAAAGGGCACTACTACTAGTAGCAAGAAGCAGTAGGTCGTGCTCCGCACTTAGCACAGTTTGAGGTGCCTCTTGCTTTAAAAAGCCTCGCAAGTCGGGCAGCGTTTCCCGCTGCCTGAGGCGTTTCCCGTTGATGTTGAATTCTTCCTTTGCTTGCAAAATTCAAGCTCATGCATGACCACCATGTTCTTTTCATCATTTGGCCAACATGCTTTGGGGATCTTGGTGTTTCACGATGAGTATCGTTGCAGAAGCAAGCGTACACGACCCAAAACAACGCCAATTATTCCAACACCTTTAATACCTGTGCTGATTTATCAACTATCAGGCCGCCCTTTCAATTGGCAGCTTGGACCCCGTGGACCCTCTTCTCCTCTGGCGGACATCTGACCAAACCATTCCTTTCGCACAGCAGAAGACAACCTCATCTTTGCCCAGGTCTGCATGATGAAAGAACAGAGTTGTTTGGAATGTTTTATTTATCTATTTCGTTCTCATAGCAATGGCATCCAACCTAAGAGCGATGGCCTCCAACCTAATAGCAATGGCCTCCAACCTCCACATGCTGAGAACATCAGATTTCTTGATCGGACTGAGCTGTTCGCCGGCTCTTTGCAAGGGTGTTCCGACACCTGAGCGCAAGAGAATCCTTGCGGTTGTCAGAACTGTGCGAAATCTGCAGGAAAAGGCCTGACATGGTCCGACATGCCAACTGCATGGAGGGTGAGTTCAAACACTAGTAGGCAGGATATGTTGGTATTTTCTGTTTGACCTTGAGACGTCTTTCTTCCTTTGCTTCCATTTCCCTTTACTCCGTCATCTCTTTCTCTCTATATTATGTGTGGCTGTCTTCTTGGCTGCCTGCCTCTACCACACGGAGTTTCTCAATCGCTTCTGCATTGGGGATGAAATCCTGAGAAGACACCCCACTCGGAGGACTCAATCGAGGTGGCCTTCGAACATGTTGCCTCTTTGTCTAGTTCAATAACAGAACAAGCCAACAATCAATGGGTGCCCCGCCCGATCTGGTACTCTCATTGCCAGCGGTGAGAATCTGCAATGGATGAGAACTGTAATCATGTAATCGTTTTGTGAGCGTTCTTGTTCAGCTCTAAGAGACCTTGTATGCACTCTCTCTTGCATAATACCGCCTGAAATATACCAAGTGAGCCGTGTTTTTTTAAAAGGTAAAGTGCTTATACACTGCTGGGTTGCCTACGCTGGAGGTTTCGCATTGTGCCTTGACTTGTGTTGATTCCGATATTTGTGGCTAGGATAGCAGGTCTACCCGTGGGGCAGCGGCAGCTAAAACGATTCAGAGTATGTGCTGTCAGGACCGGAACGAGATCTACCAAACACAGCTGCTATCACGATTCATCTTGAGGCATTAGATCTACCAAACTAAAATTAGCAATCAAGCGTGCCAGCCCGACTTATCAGTCTCTGCGTTGGCAAAGTAGTCCACCACCTGTACAAGTACCAGCAACTTGGCAGTGAAAGCTGAGACATGGGTGCATGATGGTGCGGTGCATAGTTCGATAGACCACATTCCGAAGCACAGCGATTCTGAGCAGCTGTTGCCTCTTTCTTGAACTTCTCTCCAGCCTGAAGGGACCCAGCTGAGACAAAGAAGTGGAGAAACCACGTTTGAATCCCCAAAAGAAAACCAAACCCATTCTGAGCTCCTTCAGAAACCCATTTTGATTGGGAAGCAGGAATGCCGTTGTGCCAACACATGTCTTCCTCTCAAGGCCGTTGTTCAATTCATGCCCTAGGCTCCCCAGCCAAGCTCAAGCCATCCAGCGTCACACCAGTAGAATGCTGGCAAAGAAGATTGGCTGATTGGCTCTACAAGACCACTGAAGAGTCGGCTGAAGACATTGGCTCGAAAAGGGTTGACATAGAAGCTCGCACAAGAATCACGTGTTGCTGCTTTGGGTGGATATTTAAGCAATTCTTTCGATATTTCGATTGTCTGAGAAGGGCTTAGGAAGTCATCATGTCGACTGCAAAGAACAACATGTCCCATTCGGCCTCAAATTGGATGCCAAGCAAAACACAAACCAGGGTCAGAGCTTGTCCGTCAGAGCTTGTCCCTCAAACACAAACCTGCTCTACCTAGACTCTACCCAATGAGCTGGGGCGACCATGAGGCCGCGATATTTGGCGTAGTCTGAATCCACCTCACAGCTTCAACGGCGGGCAATCAGACTGAAGTTTGCAAAACTCATAGGACAAAAGGATCCTGTACAGAAGCCTTAAAGTGACCATCAATTTATTTTGTCCATTGGTGGGCGAAGCTGCCGCTCCCTTCCAACAATGGAAGTAGCCCTGTCTCCGCTGTCAAAAGTAGTTCATTATAGGAGTCTTTTGCGCCATCAAAAGCCTCTTCACTTGGGCACATTGAAATCTGACTTTGAGCTGAAGAGGCTTTTGCTTAGTCGATGTGTTCCTTTCGTATCTCGTAGTGCATCGCAATGTGTTCCACAGCGCTCCCGAGAACGGAATCAGTGACTTTTAGCTTTTGAAGAGAAACAACGGAACTGTTCTTCTAGAGATCCAGAAAGGTTCGTGCGATTCATAGCTTGTTATCCACCTAATCAGAATCGCAAGGGCGAACCAGTGGCTTCAGAAAATCCATGTAGGGACCACGCGCGCTTGGCTTTGGTAGAGGCATCATCCGCAGCAGCGTCGATCTGGCAAGAAGCGGGTGAGGATCTGTCTTGCCATGTTGTGCAATGTTTGCGTGAAGTTGTGGAATTCGAGGACGTTGTCATCCGCCAAGCGGACCAAAATCATTGGGGCTCAAGGAGCCAGGTGTACCGACTCAACCACTTTATCCAAATCGTGGAAGCCTTGGCAGAATGGAACGCCAAGGCTTAACCTTTCAATGAGGGCCTGATAAAACGGGAACCCAGTATCAAATGCAACATCAAGTATTACTTCTGCATCAATGCAAATGCGAAGCTTCTCTTCCTTGAACATCTGAATACAGTGCATTTTTCGGTGCAACACCCGCATGTGCCACACAGCTCCCGGATTGGAATGCAATAGAGGAGCCATCAGTTGCAGTTTTGTACATCCACTTTGCTTCACCTGGGAGCGGGTGTGCCGATCAACAGTCGGCAAATTAAAAGGGTGTGGCGTCTCAGTCAAAAGACCCAAGGTGTGCACCGTGCTTCTTACCAGGCAAAAGCCTCTTGCTTGCCTGGAGGCATTTGGAGAATCAAATCTCGAAGCGAGCTGTCTGAGAATTCTTCGGAATAGTTCAAAAGGTTTTCGATGTAGTAACAAGAAGCTACTAGGGGCTCCTGGCCTTACTACTAGGAGCAAGGACGCTACTAAGGGGCTCCTGGCATCGCTACTAGGAGCATTCTTACTATTAGTAACAAAAAGTTACTAATTATTGTTCATTGTATTTTCATTGTATGTTCCAATCTTTGGTGAAAGATCGCCCAAGTGACTTGCCCTCTCGGGTGAATCCAGAAGGACCCAGCCACACCTCCTTGCCCTTGTCGTCCTTGGCGTCCTCCGACATAAATCGACGCCGTTGGCATGAGCCGCACGGCAAATGATGAGAATTCGGGGCACTGGCACAAACACCTAGTTTTCTATGGTTTGCCAAACAAGGATTTTACGAGCCCGATATCTAGTCTGTGACTACGCCATTGGCCAGACTGCTCGCCTCCTCATCCTCATCGTCATCTTCATTTTCAGCGACATCCTGTTCTGGCGCCCTCAGAGTGCCAAAGAGGTGTGACCCATGCAACATCAACATGCCATGGCAACCTACAAGAACCCCTGTGTCCGAGACAATGTGAAGGATTTCCATCTGCAGGTTTCAGGGATTTTCCACCTTCCTTCCGAAGTGTCCATGACCGAGGTTCCAACGATTCGTTGCTTTGCCCTGCAGAGAGGGGCACTGACAAACGATCAACTGCGCTCAATTTGGCATTGAGCCTGTCACGGATCTATTGGCTGACAGCGTGTTTAACTCCTTCAAATGAATCCGCCAGTATGACTGAACTGAGTCATTGATTTGGCATGATCGAGCACGTTGAACAATATCCAATCATCGTCACAAGTGCTGCCGTCCCTTCTTCAATCCCAAACGGGGGCTGACGTTGATTCTTCTCTGAACAATCCTCGCTCCGCATGCTCCGCGTCTGGCTCAAGGATTGTGTTCTGTTCTTGTAGAACATCGTGTGGAAAAGCTTGCACAAAGACCACGGAAAGCGAGCAGCTCAGATTCCTTTTCTTGACATATTCTCGGCCCCACCACAGCCGCGATGTCATAACGTGAAACCGACACAGCATGGAAGCAACCTTTCTATTAAATTTCTATCGGTTGTTTCCTGCTGGTTCCTGATCTTGCTCCGATTGTATCTCTTTCTTCGCATATTTATTGGATTTATCCTTGACATTTGCATCTCGTAGGTCGTAGATCAAAGACTAAGAAAAACCATTAAGGTTCGGCCCCAGCAGGCCCATCCCAACTCTCACGGCCGTCCATCATTCCTTGGAAGAAAGCACCCCGGCAAAAACGAGCAGCATGCAAAGCGGATGCAAAGCAATTGAACTGGACATCTGCACTTGCCCGCAGGAAATTTCAACAACAGTTCCCTATACTAAGCACCGTTACACTTGGTTGAATCAATGAAACAATCAACTCTACCATTGACAATGCCGAGTCTACTACACTTCCACAATGTGTAAAAATGGATGTCTGACGTCAAGTCAGCCAAGTTGCCCAAGCTCCACGCCTCCGCCTATCCAGGGGACGGCCATCGCGGCTATCCCTCCGAGGCAGTGGATGACGGGGCGGACTCCGCGGCGGCGGACTCCGCGGCAGAGGACTCCGCGGTGGAGGACTCCGACCCCGGAGCCGGACCTCGAAATAGCTCCGATCCCGACTGCGGCTGCGCGGTGGGCGAGGACTCCGGCGCAGAGGACTTCTCCTGCGATCGCCCGAGGGAAAAAGGACTTCTCCGTCCCGACTTCTCTCACGTGGATAGGCGTCGCGGGGATAGGTGCCATAGGCGCCCTCGCGGCTGCGACTGCGCGGAGCACTCGGCGGTGGACTGCGTGGAGGGCTGCGTGGAGGGCTGCGTGAAGGGCTGCGTGGAGGGCGACTCTCAAAGCCATCACGGGCAAAGGGACCATCACGGCCTTCACGGCTGCGGCTAGGCGAGCTCCTCCTGGACAAGTGATGTTCAAAGTGTGATCATGAAGGATGATGGTCAACATTGGACAACAGAATCCAAGGCTTGCATTGTGAATTTGTTGAGTATCAAAATGTCTAAAATAAATAGTTTATATCAATACGTTTGTCACGGCAGCCAATTCAATGATGCGTGCTTGAAATTTGGAAGTGTCAAAAGGCTGTCTACATGGTTAAAGTGCTTTCAGCAGCATGCTTCTAAAACTTGAACGGGCTATTTGCAGCAACGCCCCCACTGCGGTCATGCTTCAAGTTTTGCTCTTCATCTTCCCCCGCCTCCACTGCAACAACGCAAAATTTTGCTATAAATGGTTTGGACTTGGTTCTAGGTTGGAGGCCATCGCTTCTATTGGCCTTTCACCTACAGTATCTTCTCTGCGGAAATGTCAAGATCGCTCCTCCTCCGTCTCAAGATCTTGTCTACCTGCAAAACATCTTCATCCGAATAGTCTGCTCACAGTAAACTGTGCACAATAGGTGCTTTCAAATATGCAGCAGCAAACCCTATCCCACAATACACCAAAAACTGCTGCAACGATCATCTAGTGGAAACGTTCTTTCCCTTGCGCTCAGAATCTCTTGTTCACCCTCCTCTCAACTGGTGCTCAAAATGCAGTGTTTTGTTCAGCAAAAAATCATCCTTCATATCTGCTATACAGAAGTTGCATTCGGATCCACCATTAATTATGACCGATGCGATGGATGTGAGCGTTTCAGTGCCTTGCTGGCAGCCTCTCCAAAGCCGGGAGTTGCCGAGGAGGCAGAGGTGTTGCCGAAACCACCATGAGGAGTTGTAGAGACTTCCGGTGGTGGCGTGGGCAAGGACGCGATCTCGGCAGCGTGAAACGACGCGATCTCGGACGATAGCAGGATACTCAAATAACGGACGATCCCCAGCAATCTGAGGGTAGAGTATCCAGGGTCATTTTGGTCGCACGTATTCACAGGCCATGAGGAAAGCTACCAGTTGTCGACAGTTACAACACCAACTCTGTCATGTTCCATTTCTGTATCGAAAATCCTTCGTGCACATCCTCCAGCAGCAGCATAAGAGTTGGGGAATGATGGAAAGAAGAAGAAGAAAAAAAGAAAGAACCTATATAAAACAAACAAGTATATATCTGTATAGTCACAGTATCAAAATTGTTTTCCTCAATAAGGAGCCTTTAGTCAGCCTTTGTCTACATACGTTTCCTCCTCGACTGCGTTTCTCGTGCCCTCCGGGTGCCCCGTGCCGTGCCCTTGGCGGCGGCCGCGAGCAGCGCGGAGGACTTCATGCGCTCCGCACCCACGGCCACATCATGGGACCTGACATCGCGAGAATTGAAACAAAGAACAAATGGAACAAAGAAAAAATATATATTTCATATATTTTATATATTCATATATTCATTGTCAATTCTGTCAGGGTGCATGTCGCATGTTCATCCAAGCCGATGTTCCAACTCTCGGCCCAAAGCTTGGGAAGGGTGGGTGGCTTGTGACTTGAGCCATTTGCACCAGGAGGTGCTTTCGTTGAGCGTGGGACGCTGGTGGAAAACAGCCTTGGCAGCTACGGTGGTAAGGTGCAGGGCACCAGGATATCCATTTGTTTTGGACAGGGTTCCATAACCAATTTGGAATTGAGTTGTTGCATTGCAAGTTGTTTTGAGAGCCCTCAACCGGAAGACTCCAATACCAGTTGCAAACCTTGGCGGTTTGTAATTGGTAGCGGAGCTACCTGGGCGATCAAACAGGGAGAAGATCGACAAGATCCCTCGAGCTGTTGAACAATGCCGGAGACAGCAGGATCAACGACTGTTGATGTTGGAAACGCATCCAATAATCAGTTGGCTTCATTGATTCCTGTATTTGATCCAGCAACAGACAGTGTTGAGCAGTGGACGCAAAAGATCGAACTCCTCACACAGGTGTGGCCAGCAGGACGCCTTGGCGAACTCGCCACCAGAATCATTTTGAACTGCAAAGGATCAGCATTCGCCAAACTCCAATTGAAACAGAAAGAACTCCTTGGAGGCACCGTCGAATGCATTTCCAAGATTGTGGAACTAGTTGGAGGTCAATTTGGCCGTGTGAATTTGGAACGAAAGTTTGACATCGTAGAGAAGGCCCTCTTCCGCTGCAACCAGAAGGTTGATGAATCCTCTGATTCCTACCTGGCAAGAGCAGAAGTTGTATGGTCGGAATTGTTGATGAAAAAGGTGAACATGACCGAGGTACAGGCATACATCACCCTCCGCGGCAGCAGATTGTCAATGGAGGATAAGAAAAGAGTCCTCGTTGAAGCGGGGGCAGAAAGAGAAGACAGTGAGCTGGAGATGAAACGAGTGTCGGCAGCCATCAGGATGCTTGGCTCAAGTTTTTTCCAAGAATACACTTCAGGAAAACGCGACAAGAACCTTCGCACCTACGACCACATGGCCTTTGGAGCTATTGAAGAACATGAAGAACCAAGTGAAGATGCTTCTTGGGAGTACGATGATCCCATGGATGATGAAACTATAGAGGCCTTAGCTGCCGAAGACGATGACGCATCGCTTGTGCTCCAATTCGAAAATGCCATCCTGGACACCGTGCAGGAAGACAAGGACCTCGCCACCTTTTTCGTGAGCTATCAGGACGCACGTCGTCGATTGCTAGAGAAGTCCAAATTCCGTGGTTTTTGGCCCCCAAAGCAGTTCAAAGGGGGAAAGAAAGGAAAAGGAAAAGGGGTCAAGGGCAAATCCAAAGGTTTGGCTCAACGCATCGCCAACTCCTCATGTCGTCTCTGTGGCCAGCAGGGCCATTGGAAGGCAGAATGCCCGACCCGTCGAAACTCGACCAGCAGTGATTCGAACCAGATTCCAACATCAGTGGCGGTGAACTTGGAATCGTGCTTGCAAGAAATTCCCACAGCCAACGCCGAAACTCAGAATGTTGCCAAAGGAGCAGGTTTTGCTGTGTCACAAATGCCCAACCACCGATTTCGAGACAAACTGAAAACCAAACTGTGGCAGCTGCTTGAACTAAGGAAGAAGTCAGTCGAGCCAGCACCTGATCGACACCTGATTTTGAAGAGAACAACCCGTGATCCTGTCATGGAATGGTCAGCCACCGAAGAAACTACATGTTTCGCATCGGTAGGACCAGTGGGTGTGGTAGATTTGGGAGCCTCACAAACGGTTATTGGTGACCAACAAGTTCCGGAGTTGTTGCAAGGCATCCTCAGGAAGTCAGGAATAAAGTTCGCAAGACTGCATGTCATCTAGTCTTCCGATTCGGTAATCATCAAACGCTGACCAGCAAGACAGCCTTAATTTTTCCTGTGCACCAAACCTGGTTCAGGATTGCGATCGTGCCCGGCCAGACTCCGTTTTTGCTTTCGAGTGCCTTCTTGAAAACAATCAAGCAGTCATAGACACAGACCAAGGCACATTATGGAGTAAATACCTCGGAAGATTCTTGCAGACCACTCGATCACCCTCGAATTTGATGTTATTAGACATTAATGAATTGTGGCAAGAGGACGCGTCGCATGTCCAAGACATAGCGCCCGAGCAGAGGCCCGAAATGGCCATTCGACCGAAGACCGAAGGAGGTTCAGATCAAAAGGTGTCAAATGCCTCCGACACGTCGCTCGTGAAAACAGAAGAGTGTTTTTCCCAATCATCGATGTCTAAGTCGATTCGAGTCAAGACCAACCAGACCGATAGAGACAACCCTCATCCAAGTCAGTCTTCAGGAAATGTCAGTCGCCTCATTCAGCACTTCGATTCTCAAGCCCGGCCGTTTCTCGATCCGTTGAAGACTCGCGAACATGTCCAGCCTCAGCCAGAAGCTCGCTGCGTTTCAAAAAGTAGTCAAGAAAGAGCAAGATCAGGACTGTCTTCACGAAGTGGATCAGCTGTCCTTGTCCGACCTCAAGGAAATGAAGATAGCCTTCGGCAAAGCCAAGTTGGGTCAACCATTCGAGGAAGCCTTTCTCGATCAAAAGTGGACCACGTGGTTCGTACAGATCTACGAGAGCAGCCAGAAGCTGGAACATGTCAAATTCCTCCGCTATGTGAACCTCCGAGTGTCAGAAGGATCAACCTCGATGCCAACCAGCAGTCAGACGACGACCAAGGGAACTCCCTACCTGCGCCCTTCTGCTCAGGTGCCTCTGGGCTCCCACATGGCAAAGCCGGTGGGATCGGAACCTTGGGACAAGGAAGAATACCAGCTCGAGGAGACCTTAGCACACCAAGAGCAGCAGGACCTTCGGATGAGCAGAATCGAGTCAGCCTTGACTCAAATCATCCACCACCTCGAACCGAAGACCGAGGTCCAGCAAGTCCCGATTCGAGCGTGGGCGATGGTCAAGGAGGAGCCCAACTGAGCCCGGGAGAGGTCGAACGAATGTGTGATCAAGCTGAGGCCCATTGCTTTCTTGGAGAACCAAAATATGATTTCGATTTCCCAAAAGATTCTCAGCCAGAATATTCCCGCTTATGTTCGAAGTGCCTCAAACAGTATCAAGAGGAGTTCAACAGGATTGCACAAGTCATAAAACCGAAACCACACAAAGCTTTTCTGTTCGAAGTATTGTGCTCCAAAGAAAGTGAACTCACTCGCCAAAGCCTCCAGCAGGGACTTTCGGCCAAACGATTTGGCCTTTCGGAAGGAGACTTGAGCACGACAGTGGGCCGCAGAAATATGTTCTGTCACCTTGCACGTGATCAACCAGAGAACCTATGGGTCAGCCCAACCTGTGGACCCTGGTGCCAATGGTCTCATCTCAATATGAGCAAAAGCGCTGAACTTCGTGATGTGATCCTTCAGAATAGGAAGAACAACATATGGCAGATAAGCTTGGCAGTTTTCTTGTGTCAACATCAAGTGTCTCACAATAGACATTTTCACTGTGAACAACCTCATGGATCCAACATGCTAACACTTGAATGTTTTCGTCCGATCCGCGAGAACACGAAGCCCGGCACTTTTGACCTGTGCAATGTCGGCAATCTCCGAGAACCCGTCACTCAAAAGCACATTCGTAAAAGACTCAGCGTATGCACGACATCCAAAGAACTTCATTGGAATCTTCACTCGAGAACTTGCAAGTCCGAACACCAACATTTTCAAATAGCAGGTTCAACAAAACATGAAGGAGTCCGCATGCCAGTATCACAGTATACTGAACTGTATCCTAGGAAGTTTGCTAGACAGATCATTCAGTGCTTGCGAAAAGAAAGGACGGGACCCTGGGGAATTTTGACTGCCGAAGAGGAAGATACTCATCCATCCAAGCGTCGTCGATTAGGTCAAAAGACCAGCGTGACCAAGGCTCTCCTGCTCGCCAATCCAACATGGGAAGAAATCATGCAAGTAGCCGATGAAGATGCCTTCAGAGTTGGATTGAAGATCGTGAGCGAAGGAGCTCTCTTAGAAGCAATTCGACTGAAATGTCCTGACCAAATTGTCCATCACCTCGTTCTTTGTCGTGGCATGGATAGGATGGTGGGACCAAACGTCCGAATAGCAGAGGGGGTAGCCCCGTTGAGAAAGTTTGCTTGCATCCGGAGAAGATTCGAAGATGTCATTGTAGAAGATCATTGGGAGCCGTGGGAGAAGCTGTCTGCCAGAAAAATGCGAAGAAAGTGTGCTCCGGCACGCTGCGGGCTGACCATCTTTGCTCGATCAAGAATGTGCGAAAACCCAGGTTCGTCCTCACAGAAAAGAAATAGTTCCAGTGAAGTGACGTCATTCCCCCGGCCAAAGAAAGCGCTCAGAATTTCGGAAGAGGAACCTGAAGTCATCCGAACTGACCTGGAAAAGACAGATCAGTGCAGCTTTCAGCCAGGTCCGTCACAGAGCCTAGAATGTCGTCCAGATCATGCACATTTGGAAACGCCAAAAGAAGAAATCGCAGAGCAAAGACAAATCATCGACCTAATCTCCGACAAACACGGTCCAAAGATATTGGCACTCCCAACAGAAGAACGAGCTTGCATGCTAAAGGTACATAAGAATATGGGACATCCAAATCCAACCAAACTCAAAACATTTTGTCAACAGATGGACTGCCGTCCGGAAATGATTGAAGCCATCGATGACTTAAGATGTTCGGCGTGCATAGAATCCAAAGGTCCGGAACTTGCCAAGCCGAGCTCAATACACACCAATTTAGAGTTTGGGGATGTTGTGAGCATGGACGGAGTAAAATGGACAAACCAGCAGGGTCACCAGTTCTTTTTCTACCGCTTCGTAGACCAAGGAACTACATTCCATACTGCAAACACGTCCAAGGGCCACTCATCATCAGATGCTATCAAAGCGCTAGTAAAAGGGTGGATCAGCTGGGGAGGTCCTCCTGGAATGCTAGTGGTAGATTCAGGAACCGAATTTGGAACTGAACAGTTCCATCAATTCCTGCAGGAACATGACATCAAGCTTCGCATGATAGCCCCGGAAGCTCACTGGCAGAATGCAAGAATTGAACGCCATGGAGGTATCCTACAATCCATTCTAGACAAATTTCACAAAGAAAAGCCGATTGAAACCGTCGAAGACCTTGATGTTGCACTGTCATTTGCAACCCAAACTAAGAACAGATGGTCACGGTATAAAGGATACCCTCCGGAACTGTTAGTATTCGGCAAACTCTGTAGAAGTCCAGGCTCGGTGACCAGTGAAGATTCGCAAGCATCACATGACCTTGCTCTTCAGGACACACCCGAAGGGCAACAGTTTCGAGAAAGACTGGCTGTCCCGGAGAGAGCCCGTCGAGCATTTTGTGAATCCGACAATCTTCAAGCACTCCGCAGGGCCGTGCACCAGAAGACACGACCCCAAAGAACGGTCTATCATCCAGGAGACTGGATTATGGCTTGGCGCAAAGAAAACCATTGGTTTGGTCCGCTCAAAGTCATCCTCCAAGAAGACAAAATGTCATATGGGCAGTACTCGGAAACAAACTCTTCCGAATAGCACCAGAACATGCACGACCGTTGTCAGCCGTAGAAGAAGTCAAGAATGCCAAAAGTAGTGATGCCATCGATATTCAACAAGAGTTGTTTAAGTTAAGGGCAGGAAACACCCGATTTGTCGACATCCAACAAGATCCATTGTCGTCTCCACCCAGTCGACGGACCGAGAATCAAGAAATCACAGACTCAGAAAGGTCAGGAGACAACCAACCAGATAATGAGCCAGGCATCTCTTTGGGCAACTCTGAAAGAAACGCTAGTGGGTCAGAGTACACCCCCACTGAACCCCCGGAAAATCAAGAAGAGGGACCATCCATACCCGAAATGCCAACGCCAGAAAACGTCCCAGTGCCAGTGGAAGAAGATGATGACCTCTTTTGCGAAGCCTGTACGTTGACGGACGACCAAGCTTGGAGATTTGAAGTCAGCTTGGACCTTCAGGACATTGATGCATTAAGAAACGATCCAAATCCCGAACAAGTGGCTTTCATAGTATCAGCATCTAAGAAGCAGAAAACAGAAGTAAAGATGTCTACCTTAACATCTGAAGAACGAAAGCTGTTCGAGGAAGCAAAGCAAAAGGAAATTCAAAGCTGGCTTGACACCAGAACGGTTTGTAGGATCCTCCGACAAAAGATTCCTGAAAGTAGTATCCTACGATGCCGTTGGATCCTAACATGGAAGGATGCAGAAAATAACACTCATCTTGGAGTGGAAGGCCGACAATCCCAAAACAGAAAGGCCAAAGCTCGCTTAGTCATTTTAGGATACCAGGACCCTGAATTAAGCAACCTCGAGAGAGACAGTCCAACACTTTCCAAGCTGTCCCGCAATCTGTTATTGCAATTGTGTGTATCCAATAAATGGGAAATTGGAAGTTTTGATATCAAAACCGCATTTTTGCGGGGAAGAGCTGACTCTCGTATCCTAGGACTTGAGCCACCGCCAGAACTGCGAGCAAAACTAGGACTCCAACCTCAAGAAGTGTGCAGACTCCTTAAGGGAGCATATGGTTTGGTAAATGCACCACTGTTGTGGTTTCGTGAGCTAACCAAAACTGTAAGCGACCTCGGGTTCATTGCCGCGCCATTCGACCCTTGTTGCTTCATCCTTTCCAATGAACAGGGACAGGCCAGGGGTTCATCGGCATACATGTGGACGATGGTCTGTTCGCCGGCGATGAATCCTTTCACAAACAGATCAACAAGCTCGAAAGTCAGTTTCCTTTTGGAAGCCGAAAGAAGAAAGATTTTGTGTTCACAGGTCTCCAAATCCATCAAAAGGAAGACTTTTCCATCACAGTAGACCAAACACAATATGTAAAAGATATCAATCCAATCCAAATAGACAAGGAAAGGAAAAACCATCCAGAAGAACCCATCAACGAATCAGAAAGACAAGCTTTTCGCGGTCTCATCGGCAGCCTTCAGTATGCCTCAGTAAATACCAGACCTGATCTTGGAAGCCGACTCAGTCTCCTCCAAGGCCGAATCAACAACGGGCAAATTCAAGATCTTGTAGAAGGGAATAGATTGCTCCATGATGCCAAAGTGAATTCTAACGTCAAATGCCGATATCAATATATTCCCAAAGAGGAAGTAAGATTGGTAGCATTTTCAGACGCTTCATTCGCATCAGAAAAGAACCACTCCTCACATCAAGGACTAATGATCCTCACCGCACACAAGATGATAGGAGAAAACAAACCAAGTGTGGTGAATCCAATAATGTGGTCTTCAAAGAAAATTCAAAAGGTGGCAGTCAGCACATTGTCCGCAGAAGCTATGGCCTTAGCTGGAGCGATGGACCTCCTTGCATGGTGCAGGTTGTACTGGAGTTGGCTTATGGACCAAAATTGCCAATGGAGACTAGGTGATAAAACACTAGCCCAATTGCCTCCAGCCTTTTCGGCATTTAAAGACGAACCAGAACTTCTTGATCCCAATGAATCACTAAGTGAAAATTTGGTACGACTTCAAGGAGTTGGAAAAGAAGATGCAATAGTGGCCACAGATTGTAAAAGTTTGTTTGATCTAGTCAGCAGAACAGCTCCACCGGCATGCCAGGAGTTCAGAACACTCCTTCAAGCAAAACTGATAAAAGAACACTTAGCAACAGGAGTAAGAGCAAGGTGGGTCCCTTCAAGTGCCCAAGTAGCAGATTGCCTCACTAAGGTGATGGACAATTCAACACTTCGTGAACTTTTGTGCACAGGACGCTACCAGTTGAATGATGAAAAGGACATCCTGAAAAATCGTTCCGATAAGAAAGCAAGATTGCAGTGGTTCAAAAGCCATCAGGACCAACCTGAGGGAAATCATCAAGGATGAGAGAAAAGCCAAGACGTCTCCATCCATGATGCTACACTCACCCTCCCATGTGCCAATTCGTCAAACTGTTTTTGCAAGACTCCAAACGATGAATTTGGAGTTCGAAGAATCTTGGAAAGGGAAAGACAATGACTTGGATCATTGCAGCACCACGATTCTATGTTGTTTGGGTTATTTGACTCAACCGAGTCAATTTGGGGTTCAACAGCTCGAGGAACATGCTTGACAAACAGAAAATATGGGGAATGTCAATTCTGTCAGGGTGCATGTCGCATGTTCATCCAAGCCGATGTTCCAACTCTCGGCCCAAAGCTTGGGAAGGGTGGGTGGCTTGTGACTTGAGCCATTTGCACCAGGAGGTGCTTTCGTTGAGCGTGGGACGCTGGTGGAAAACAGCCTTGGCAGCTACGGTGGTAAGGTGCAGGGCACCAGGATATCCATTTGTTTTGGACAGGGTTCCATAACCAATTTGGAATTGAGTTGTTGCATTGCAAGTTGTTTTGAGAGCCCTCAACCGGAAGACTCCATGGCGGTTTGTAAATTCATATAATTATTCATATATTCATATATATATATATATTCAATACTTATAGACTACTTTATAGTTTTGTCTTTTTCATTCTTGAATGGCTTTGGTCATTCTCAATGGTTTGGCTCGAAAGGGTTTGCAATCCCATTCTATGAGCTATTTATATAGTTAAATGGCAATCGATGAGCGCATGCTGCCAAGAACTGCCGGAATCATATTATGGTCTTGCCAATCCACTAGACAGAGAAGCCATGAGATCTCCATGAAACACAACGCTGAGAACTCCACCATCTGCACTTGTCACCCCAAGTGCATGTACCTTGCGCTGTGCTGCGCTCCAGTGGGAGAGAAATAAAGTTACGGATACAACATCCCTGCCTTGGCCTGTTTCGAGGCACATTGTTGTGAAACAGGCCAAGCAAAATGCCAGCAAAATCTGTCTAGTGCTCCTCGGGAGCTTCTTCAGGCCCTAACCAAAGGGTAGCCTGAAGCCTACTATTGTCTTTGTAGCTTTCAGCTTCGCGCCTGCTCGGTAGTTGAAGCACAACTGATTGGGGTTCAGCTCTTTCCTCAGCACAGCACTTGGGCCCAAGCGCCCTTTGGCCAAGACGAAGCTGCTGCTGAGAGGCTGGATGTCGCCCAGCTTGACCACCAGCAAACCAGAAGGATTCCGCGCTTTGGATAAATCCCTGGGTGCGGTCTGTCTTGATGCGTCTTCCGGACGGGCGAAAACACAGAATCATGAAAGCTTGCAATGAACAAGCAAACGAGTCTCACAGACTCTCCTATAAGATCAGAAAAGGCTGAAAAGGCTGAAGGTTGCATGTGAGACATTATTAGACTAGCTTTGACAAAGGTCCAGTTTGGCCACCCTAGAAGCAAGGGAAAAGACTGCCCTGTAGTTTACTGCAAATCAACACATCTGAGTTGTCCACTCCATAAACCCTCAAAGATCTTGCGGCACTTCTCACAATCCAACTAAATAGCAATCGTGGCGATTGGTCTCCCAACCAGTCCGACCATTCACGTTGCTCTCCGGTCTCCAAGGCACCGATTCATTTCTGCCAGGTCTTGTCTCCACTCGGCTTCCGATCGCTTTCTGAGCGTGTCCAGAACCTTTGTCTGCAGTCCTTGGAACGACCCACGGATCCCCACGCTTCGATCGATCTCGTTCATTCCTCCCCTTTCACAGACGTTTCTCACATGCACAAAGGGCCCAAGCAGTTGTGGGCCGTTCTCTGGAGTAAGGCATGAGTCCATGTCGTGATCTGTAAGGGCGTACTATGCCAAGTGTCGATCTGCAAGTGCAAAGCGAGCACAAAAGGCCTCCCAAATCAACTTGGCCACTGAGAACCATGGAAAATGATCTGCATTCTACTTGCAGGCAATCGACTGTGTATCTGCTTTCTGATCAATACAAACAATGCAAATAGCGTTTCACTCGCTGAACGCGCTGGGTGAAGGGCAGCCTCTGCTCATCATATTGAAAGACATGTCTCTGCCTTCACCTCTGGAAGTAGATCTCCAGTGGGTAAGACCAAGGGCTTGCCCTGTCAGGTTTCGCTTGAAGCTGTCTGTACCCCAAGTGTGAAACTTTGACTTTGGAGATCTGTGAGGTGTCAATCTGCCAGTTCGTTCATCAACTCTTGCCTAAAACGCCTTCTGTAAAATGGCATAGCTGCAAAACAGAACATGGTGGTGAGCAATCTGGCTTGGCTGAGAAGTCCACTTCTTAACAAGGCCCGCAGCTAAATTTGCTAGCCATGCCAAAGTTGTGATGTTACATGGTCAGCTGCAAGTTCTCACGCTGACTAGCGCTGAGCGAGAAGGCAATCGTCATCACTTGCAAAACAGGAAGCTTTCTCCAGCCTTAATGCATGTATATAATGTAATATATGAATTGTATATGAACGACAACATACAACAAGTAAATACAACTAAATCTATATATGTTCAGTGCTCAGAGAATCGAATTTTGAGGAGAATTGATGACTTCTGAAGAGAACCCAAGCATCAAAACCATGCAAAACCTCCAGTCACAGAACACAACAAACCGGACTTCCCGTGCCTTGCCCTTGCCTTTCTTGTCCATTGGCATCGCGAAGGCGCTCTCAGGCTCTTCACTGGGGCCAGCACCGCCACTGACTTCCTGGAGAGTGGGTAGCGTGGGCACCACCGTTGATGGTGCAATCAAGACAGAGTTGAGCAGAACCTCCTTTAAGGCTTTATTCAGTTCGCTTTTGCTTGGACTTGGGCTTCGTTGGAAGAGTTAAGGCATCTTCCAAAAGGGCCTGGAAACTGTTTGGTGCCAATGCTGCTGCCAAATTGGACGTCAGTCTAAGTGTCGCTTGGGCTCACAATGTGCTGGGAACACAGTAGCTCCGGTTTGGAATTTATTTCTGAACCTTCCTGCGTACGGCTGCGATGCGAAAGGTGCATGCTTGCTGCTGACCCCAATCGATTGGAAAGTGGGTTCTGGCCATCATGGTGCATCAATGTGCATCTTCTTTCCCACTTCATGGCATTGTGCTTTAAGAGTCAGATGCCCATGTTTTGGGAGATTCAACACCAGGCTCCTGCTCATTTTGGTAAGCAAAGAGGGCGGCTGCGTTCAGCGTCTTGGCCTCGTTGCTGCCTCCTTCGCCCAAAGCCCGAGCAAAGTTCGCTTCCTGCGACCACGGCCCTTCAAATCATTAGGTCCAAGCCAAGGGGGAAATCAACACAAAGAGACATATATTCAAGTATATATGTATAATATATATAGTATATATATGTATGTGGGTCCAATGCATATATATATATATATTCAAGCGTAATCAAGAGTGTATGTCACTGTATGTCTTAAATAAATTCAGAACCGCTTATCCTTGCTGACTTTCTTCGACCTTCCATCACATACACACATCCATGTTCCTTCTTTTTGCTCGGTAGAAGACCTGCGCTGAACATGTAAATGTAAGACTGTGTTGCATTGGAGGCACCATGTTTAGCTATTATAAGGTCTGAGGCCCAATGCACCACTTGAACATAGGGACATATATGAACGTCGGGCGCTAAACCAGTATGCGAAACGTCGAGTCCATTCCTTCAAATGACAAAATGTTATATAGCTACTAGTAGCTTCTTGCTACCAGTAGCGATGGCCTCCAACCTACTAGCGGCGGCCTCCTAGTAGCTTCTTGTTGCATCCAACCAACAGACCTCCCTACATCGAATTGCTAAAGATAGGGGTGAGAAACGCAACATGTTCTCCAAAGAAATCATGTATGTTAAGCGAGTGGCGGGTGGCGGGCACGGAATGAACAGTTTGCAAAACGAATTCGCTGTCGCAAAGAAAGCGTTGTACTACCATGGCGCCTGCGTGTCCGTTCGCTTCTTCGAAAAGGCCGGGGACCTGTCCGACCGAAAACCTTCTTTGCTTCGGATTTCGGGAAACACGGTCTTTATATGGTCCGTCCGTTTCAACCCTCTCTCGAGCCTTGCAAGTGGGGCACATGCAACCAGGAAGGTGGCCTTGCTTGGCCTGCACTTCCCGGAAAAAGGTCACGAGCTCTACCAAAGAGACTTGATTTCGACGAACAAGAATCGCAAATCTTCACGAATGAATCAATCAGTCCAGAACCAATCCAAAGAGTCTCTGTATGAGACTGCAGACTGCAGACTGCACTATGCACCAATCATCACCTCATGGGATCATTTAACCTACAAGGCTACAGCACAACATCTCTCAAATTACAAGGCAACTACAAGCTACAAGCTCCGAACTACGTTATAAGCATACGAACTCTAGAAATCTCCTCGAAAATGTGTCCAGCAATGTCCAGCCTTGTTTTTGAAACCTCTTAAGGCTTCAATCTCTCGAAGCCTCGCTTGCAAGAGCGTTGAGGGATTCCGCGCCTGGCGTTGGTTGTCAGGGCGCACAAGTGGCTAGATTGAGCTTATGGATAGAGATAGCTACAACCATTCCGTTTGTATATATGTGTATATAAACCTCTCTTACTTTTTGTGGCTATCATGTCCTTCATGCCATGCATTTATCTTATTTTTGCCCAGGTCACTGGCATAGTTCATGGCGCACAAGAGCAGCAAAATATGCCATTAGGATCCATTGGGTTGGAGGCCATCCCTATTAGGTTGGAGGTACACTAGCAGCAAAAATATGCTTAGCACATAGATGCACTTAGCACGGTGCTTACCACCGCTGCATGAGAACCGAATGAGTCTGGGTGGCCTTTGGAAGTCCACGGGGGACCGTCCGAGTCACAGGTCGAAAGAAAGACAGAAAGAACGTCCAAGAGAGAGCAAAAGAGAGTTATATACATTTATAAAGCAGAAGAATAAGAGAGGACACAAAGGAAATCAAAGGAAGATGGGTGTCCAAGATGTTCTTCCTCAGGCCGTACCCCTTCCTTTTCGCTTTCGAGTCTCCTCTTAGGTCGGACTCACCAGATTGGCATCATTCATCAGGCTACAGAGTGAAGATGACAAGGGCGAACAGTTACACAAAGGCTGCAGAACGCTGCCGGGAGCCTCAAAAAACGGCTGGAATTGCTTGTACATAATGCCAAAAGATTGAAAAACTTGCTTGTAAATATCCTTTGCCCCTGTTGCAATGTCTTCTGCCCTACCCCAAATCGAGGCCTTTGAAAGCGCATGATCTAGCTCACGCAGGTCTTGCGCCCACGCCTCCCCACACCTGCGGGCACGCAAGTGATGGAACAAGCTTGTTGCGATGTTCTGCTGCAAATGTTCTGCTGAATGTCCTCCTACTAGCGATGGCCAACCTCAGAGCGATGGCCTCTGCAACAAGCGTCAGTGGCCTATTCGCCAAGACGCTTCTCCAAAGACGCGGTCACTGCTTTCTGATTGTCCTCGTTCAACTCCTCAGCTCGTTCCACTGGCAGGCGGCAGCTTCGACACCGAGTAGCTAGAGGTTAGCACAGCCAAGCAAACGGCCAACTAGCACAGCCAAGTTAGAAAAAAATGGACAAATGGACTGACTGTCAATCAGTATTGTCTTGGATGCTCCTTGGAGGCGTTGAAGAAGCTCAATCCAACATATTCGAACTATCGAGTATGGGACCAGATCGAAGACAAGCAACAAATGTTGCTTAAAGCCGCCAGAACAAACGAACGAACTCTCCAGCCACGGGACGTACTTTTCGCAGAACTTCAGGACTTCTTCCTGGTTGCACATTTGCTACAAGCCCCTTCTGCTGTCGCAATAGAGCCAAATCTAATGCAGCTAAATGCACTGATCGATACTGATCGTTGAATGGTTGATCGGTTGATCCATCTTACATGATCTCATGCAATCCATGGCTGTATGGTCTGTTTGATTTCGAATCCAGGCCTTCATGTCTCCTGGACCAGCTAAGGGAGGCAAAGTCCTGGCAAAGTCTCTGGTTCTGACATGGACTCGTGACAAGTCACAAGTCCATGTCCATGTTGAATGAAACGCCCTCTTTGTGTCTTGAAAACAGGTGAACAATGGTGAACATGTCTGTTCGAGTTGAGCACTTCTTTCGAACACATGCTGGGAACACTGCACTGTTGCGCCGTTGGGCGCGGGAACCGCGCCAGGAGGCATCGGACAGCTAAAGCCGTCTCCCATGGAGCCGTCGGTCACGGTCACGTCGAGTGAAGCGTCGCATCCCGCAGCGGGACAGCCCATGGGGCCGATGGGGCCGCCCATGGGGCCGCCCATGGGGTTGCCCATGGGGTTGCCCATGGGGTTGCCCATGGGGT